TCATTTTCTGACTTTGGTTGCCATACTTGAAAGTCTGGCAAATGTCACCGTCAGCTTCCTTCTTTCTGTCATCTTCCACTCCACATGCCCTTGGAGACCCAGCCAGGCTTTTGTGTTGTCAAAACCCAAGATGGCAATGGTGACGATAGAGAGTAATCAGTGCTGCTCCAATGAGGAAGAGTCCAGAATGAACTAAGCTCCAAGTTTTGTTGTGGAATGTTTCAAAAAAGAGAATAAAGGCCTATGGGAATTCGGGTAGGGGCTTGGGGGCCGGGGACAAGGGTGGCAGGCAGAGGCTCAGTAAAACTAGAAGTGAGACATTACTCCGAGACGCAGAGGAAGAGAGAGTTGTGGATCCATGTGAAGCCCATTTGGATTTGCCAACTGGGAAATTAGGACCCTGACTCCATGTGCTGTCTGGAACAGTGAGATCAGAGCTTTGGGCTGCCTGGGCTATTTCTGGCAAAATAAGAGACATGCTAAGAATGTGCCTTTGAACTGTTAGACATATTAGTGGGTTTGGGATTTTTTCCCCCTGGGTCTTAAAAGCCAAAATTGAGGCCTAGTCAGGCAGAGCACTGAGTGAAACCTCACTAGTTTGAAAAAGGAATCTTTCCTTCCTTCCTTCCTTCCTTCCTTCCTTCCTTCCTCCCTCCCTCCCTCCCTCCCTCCCTCCCTCCCTCCCTCCCTCCCTCCCTCCCTCTTTGCCTCTCTCCCTCTGTTACTTGACCTTATTTCAGGAGGAGATAGAAAAGAAAATAGCTTTATTAGGAACTATGAAGAGGGAGAGAAGGGAGAGAGTGTAACAAATTGAAGGTGAAAATATAGCCTTCTCCAGAGTGGAGAGAGCCCCCCAAATAAAGAATTTCATGACTCAGGGTTAGGTGCAGGTGACCCCAGAATTCGGGATATGTCCTTTAATTTTTGTGTGGGTGTGTGAGTATCCCATGACTTGTTCATCCAGCCACCTGAAGATTGGTTTGGTTTTGTATTGCATCCATTTTGTGGTTTCTGTGAATAGTCTGCAATGACTATTCTTATTTAAGTCTTTTGTTTGTCTCAGATAAATGTCTAGGAATAAAATTGCTTCTCATGGGATGGGTATATATTTAATGGCCAAATTGATTTCCAGAGTGATTTATCAACTTAATACTTCTCACAGTAGTGTATCAATAATTCAGTATTGATATTTGGTGTCAGTAAGTATAAAATGACACCTCATTATGGCCTTAAATTGCATTTTCCTGGTGAGTAATGACATTGAACACCAATTTTTGTGTGCTTATTGAGCATTCCTGTATTTCATTTTATGAACTCTACGTCCCATTCTTTTTTCAATATTTGTTGATGGTTTCTTTGTTAGTTTTGACTCATTGGAGTTTTATATATTCTGGATAAGAGTACTTAGTGAGATAAACATATTGTTAATATGCTTACATAATAGGAATGGAATTTTGAAATACCACTTAAAGTAATATCCAAGATAAGACTGTCTAGAAACAAATTTAATGAAAGACACGAAGTACCTTTACGCTGTGCTATCTATATAGTATACTGTCTCTCCAGTCCCAAATTCTTGTAATTAAAAAAGAAAGAAATTAACAGATTGACTTTAAAATGTATATGGGATCCGTAGAATAGCCAAAATTATCTTCAAAGGAATAAAATTGGAGAAACTATGGATTGGAGACATAGTATAGAGGTTAAGGTGTTTGCCTTGCACCTGGTGAAATCCAGCACTACATACGGTCCTCAAGCACCGTCAGGAGTGATCTGTGAGAATGAAACCAGGAGTGACCCCAAAACAAGCAAAGGGAGGAGAGCTTACAGTGCCCAATACTGCTTGATCTTACGATCTCTAGTAAGGCTACAGTATGAAAACACTGTGGTCTTAGCGTAGAGATGGCTCGTATTCGAGGATAAAGAGGCCCAATATAACCAGATACTAATCAGATGATTTCCACCACCTCCCACTCCAGACTGTTAAGTCATTTCAGTGGGGGACAGAAATATTTTCTTCAGTAATTCTGTATCAACTGGAAATGCAAGTGAAAATGAATATTGAGCTCTGGCTCATCCATTTGGGTTGGAGAGATAGCACAGTGGGTAGGGCGTTTGCCTTGCATGAAGCCAACATGGCCAACCCGAGTTCGATTCCTCCGCCCCTCTTGGAGAGCCTTGCAAGCTACCCATGACGTAGTCGATATGCCAAAGACAGTAACAACAAGTCTCATAATTTGTTGTGAGACAGTACTGGTGCCCACTCGAGCGAATCGATGAACACCGGGAGGACAGTCTCATCCATTTGGGAAATATCATAAATTGAAATAGGGGCTGGAGAGATAGTACAGAGGGTAGAGTACTATCCTTGTGCACAGCCAACCTTGCTTCCATCCCTGGCATCCCATATGATTCCCCAAGCACCGCCAGGAGTAGTTCCTGAGTGCAGAACCAGGAATAACCCCTGAGCATCGCTGGGTGTGGCCCCCAAAAGCAAAAAATTAAATTTAAAATATATATAAATTGAAATAAAAAGCTGAAATCAAAAAATAAAAAGCTTCTCTATGAAAACTGCTGTCTTGGTCGTCTTGGGGAGGGAAATATTTTGTGTAAGAAATACAAGAGGCTCTTAACTACAAAAGAAATTTCCCTCCAAGAGTACTGTATTCTGGTCCCCGGTATTCCGATGGTCTTGATCCATGTTGGGCAGTGCTCGTCCCAAGGCCTCGTCCCAAGACTTTCTCACTGGCTTCTGCTTTCAAATGTGGATCCCTTTTCTGTCTTTACCCTTTGCGCGTTATTGATCTCTGTATACAGCGGATGCCGTAGTTCATCATATTAATCCTTGGAAGGTAGTTAGATGGTGCCAATTGGTGATGGGCCCCAGCCCTATCATGTGAAAGGGAGAGTCTGTTCCCGCCCTCCCGGGGGCTGCTCAGAAGAGTCACCAGCAGCCTTACCCTTCTTGCTTCAATCGCAGGTTTGACTTTCACTGCTAGATGGCATGAGATGGGTCTTTTGATATCCTTATGCAGATTGCCTTTTTTTTCTTTTTCACAAGCTATCAAAGAACCCGAACCTAGCTGCAAGATCTATCTCTGTCTCTGTCTCTCTTATACACACACTCACACACACACACCTTTTCAGCCTACTTTTCAAGAAAGAAAGGGGGCTTCATACTGCAAATATCAGACTCCCAGAATAATTTTTCTTAAATGTGACAATATAGAACATAAAGAGTCAGTTAAGAGGTAGACAGGGCTCGAGACCCATTCTCTGGGATCTGGCTTGATGCAGGGGTTCATATCCACTTGGGACTTGTCAGTTACCTAGTGATTTCCGTGCACAGTTTCAGACGTCTGGTGGTTAACCTGGGCTTTTGCCCCCAGTTTTGGAGCACTAAAACTTTGACTCCTCGTAGCATAGCACAGACCAGGGTAAAGGGCATGTAGGCTTCTGTAGGATGACACTGTTTTGTCCTTCCTCGGGTAGTTTACGTTTATCGGGTCACACCCATCCCAGGGCACTGAACTTGTATTATAAGTTAATAGTGCCTTTCTCCTCTCCTTATATCTTTTGAATAGTTTACCTTAAAGCAATGTCCTTTCTGTATGAACACAGGAAGACAGTTAATATGCTTTGTATCTTGGGAGTTGATTGACTCCGAATAATATTTATTCCTAGGCATTTGCTTTCTTGACTCAGTTGCCCTGAGTTCCTAGCACCCTAAAAGCAGGGTCCTAACGAGGGACTGAATGGACCCAGGGCAAGCTGTGAGTTACCCGGGCATCGAAATGGGCCAGGCCAAAGCGCCACAATACTCAACTGTAAGTTGAGGACATGATCATGGACAAATGCTGTCATGATCCAAAAGTAATGATGAGACTAGGACTCTGCTGGGGCTAGGAAGACTAACCTGGCCTGAGGACTTGCAGAATGTATAGTGAGATGTTCTCAGGAAGAACCAAACTAAGTTTATATCTCTTACTGTGCTCATACAGAATGACATTGCTAGAAATAGTAGAAGTAGATTTACTACAACTATTTAAGTAGATTACTAACTGAGGAAAGAACACACCCTTGTTAGGATCCCATCCTTGAGCGGATCTCCTAGTAATCTGGAGTAATCTCTTTAGATGAGATTTTATCCTTGAGTTAATCTCCTGGAGGAGTGGTCTTACCTCTCTTTGTTGATTTGTTAATGTTCAACCCACCTTTGTGTCACCAACCTACCTGATTGCTGTATAAACTAAGAATTCAAAGCTCGGAGGGAGGAGAGTCAGAAGTGAGAGAGCTTGGGCTCCAGAGATCCAGAGTCAGAGCCAGAAGGAGAAGGGGTTCCATATTGGGGCCCAAGAGAGAAGGAGGCAGAACCGTCCCGATCCAGGCCACACACAGCGGCTCAAGAGCACCAAACATGGGCAGTGAGACAGTGCCATCCAGTGAGCCCGCAGACACACAACCTTCGGCGTTCTAAGATTTTACAGGCTTCCAATAACATTGTCCAAGCTAAAACTGTTTGATTTGTTCTTGGTTTCCCTACTGTGACTTCCTGAAAGAACTAGAAATGACTGGTGCCTAATACAGAGTTAGGATAGCTATCTTAGTAGGTGCTTTGTGACACTTTCCAATTTTGTGAAGGTCTCTGGTTACCATATTTTGGGTGGAGTGCTTCGAGTCATGTGAGTCATTGAGTTTGTGGAGTGTGGAAAAGTTGCAGGTTTTCTGTATGAAGCATGGGCGAAGTTTTCTGCTACTTAGAACTCTGGGAAAAGAATTAATGAAGGAGACTACTTCGGGGTGTATGGCGGGTAGTGTGAAATGAATATCAAGGTGAGGAATGGGTATTAAATTTGTCACAGAGCACTGAGTGTGCTAATGTTGGCTGGGGTGGGAGGGGAGATGTTATTCTCCTCTTGGCCTGGCCTCTGAGTACCTCACCTTGAAATCTTGGCCTTTACCTACTCTTTGATCTACTTCCTTTCTCATCTTTCTTTCAGGTTTGCAGTGAGCATCGGATACTGGCATGACCCTTACATCCAGCATTTTGTGAGGCTGTGTAAAGAGAGGAAGGCCCCTGAAATTAACAGAGGTGAGTGACCACCTCCCACCCCAGCTTGTCCTCATAAACCCAGAGGCCTGGGCTGTGGGGGATTTCTTCATGTGTTTTGACTGTCTGTCTGTCTGTCTTTGGTCTCCATTGTTGTGCAAGTTGTAGTCCCTGGTGCTTGAGGACCAGGGGTAGAAGGCAGAGCCTCACACGGGCAAGGCCTGTGCTCTGCTATTGAACCATGCCTCCAGCCCTAGGGATTTATTCTTTTTCTTTTTTGGTCACACCCAGCAATGCTCACGGGTTACTCCTGGCTCTGCACTCAGGAATTACTCCTGGCGGTGCTGCTGGTGGAACTCCATATGGAATGCCGGGGATCGAACCTGGGTCAGCTGTGTGCAAGGCAAATGTCCTACCCACTGTGCTATTGCTCTGGTTCTCTGGGGATTTATTCTTGAAGGGTTTTAGTGTGCAGTGTCTCCAATCTTTGGTGAAAGTGCTAATATCCTTGACATCCTCACCAACATGGGGTGAAAGTTTTGTCTGTGGGGGTGAGGGGCTCACTCCTGGAAGTGCTCGGGGCCTGTTCTCAGACTCGGGGTTCCCTCCAGGTGGTCTCCAGGGCACTTTGGGATGCTGGGGATTGAACCCAGGCCTCCACGTGCTGAGCAAGAGCTGAATCAGTCCTTTCAGCTGTGTCTCCAGTCTTTGGAGGAGACACTTTTTAATCTTTGTTAATCTGATATATGAAAAGAGGTATCAGAGTCATTTCATGTTCTCTTCCTCTGAGTTACTAGTAGGAGTGAAGGTCCTATGTGTAAAAAGCCACTTGCCTATCATCTTCCAGTGAACTGTTTTTTTCACGTAAGGGACTAGTTTAGTTGCCTCTTGTGTCAGTGATATGATTAGAATCTACAAGTAATTCCTGTCGAAGAAGTGACAGGACTTCCGACAGGAGGAGGACTTCAGCGCTGCCAATCTGGGATCTGCCATCTCAGCTGGATGGACTGCCATCCCAGTCCTCACCCTGCCTCTGTGGCAGACAGTTTCCCCAATACTCTCTAATTTGGGGCAATATGCTTTGCTCGAATTTTCCCACCACCATTCAAGCCCATCTGCCAGGGGCAGATGCTAAATAATTTATTTTCCAAATGGACCAGATGCCCCCAATGCTAGTGTGTGCAGAGGATCTTGTCTCTGCAGACGGATCCTGTAGTTTAGTTTGCCATGAAATATGAAGAAAATATAAACTGGTGACCTGTGAGCATAAGGACATGGCATTAATTGTTAGCACAGGGTGAAACCGAGGAGATCTGGGCTGGGCCTGGCTAAGCTCCTTTCTGTTCCCGAGTTTGGTTTCGTGATGGCGGTGCCAGAGAGGTAAGGGACCCTCTGGAGACCAACTCGGTGCCTTGGAAACGTGTCCACCCTGCTTGCTTCTTTCTTTCTCCCCCAGGTTGGAATTTTCATCGGGGAATGCAGCCCAGTGAAAGAGCTCTTTCCAAATAGTGTATGGTGAACATCACTTTTTCCACCAGCGTCCAATCCAGTTGTGGCTATTTTTTTTTTTTTATAATATAGGGATACTGCTATTTGTTCAGCCATTGATTACGCTGATTGAATTGGGCTTGAACTCCATATTACTTTTTAATTTTATTATACCAACGTGAGATAGAGTTATAAAGCTTTCATGTTTGAGATTCAGACATACAATGATGGCTGAATCCCTCTACCAGTGCACATTTTCTACCACCAATGTCCCCGGTATCCCCCCACCACACACACACACACACTCTCTCTCTCTCTCTCTCTCTCTCTCTCTCTCTCTCCAGACCTCACCCTGCCTCTATGGCAGACAGTTTCCCCAGTACGCTCTCTTTAATTTGGGGCATTATGCTTTGCTTGAATTTTCCCACCGCCATTCAAGCCTACCTGCCAGGGGCAGATGCTAGATAATTTATTTTCCAATTGTGTCTATTCTTATAAAATGCAGTTGAAGAATTAAATAGAAAAATGATCGAAAAGCACCTTCACAAATATGAACCCAAATTATCATTAGCAGATTCAACAGCCATCACATTCTTCTGTCAAATGAATGAAAGTTTCTAAATGCTACTTTCCGATTTTATTCTTCACATAGTCCCCTTCCACCAGCAGTGCTTTAGAACAGAGTTTGTGGACCAGGGATTTGGCTCATTGGTCCCTGCCTTGCTTGTGTGAGGCTCCGAGTTTGAGCTTCAGCACCACAGAATGAAAACGTTTTACAAGAAGAGCAAAGTTCATCTTCATTTTTTTTTAATTTCCTATCTCCTCTGCCCCAGCTCCCCACCTCAAAGCTTAACAAATCAATTTCTTAGCCAGCGTTTGCTTTTGCCATCCTCGGCCTAGTCTGTGAAGCCATACACGTTTTGACTTAGCCAGAGTGAAAATTGCAGGAATGTGGTTAGGAACACAGCTTCCTTTGCTTTGAAACTCATACCTGCCCAATTTTCTGGCCTAAAATTCTCTTCTCTGTGTGGTCTCAGTTTTGAGTTCTGCAAACATACTTTGTACCATTTGTTACAGCAAGATGACAAAAAAAAAAAAAAGCAAAAACAGATCAAGAGGCCAATTCCAAGAAAAGCATTTAAATCAGGTGTTGCATTTCTGTGTGCATGCTTTGTGGTTTTATTCAGCCTCCCGTGCAGTACTTAGGTGGCCCAGGGACTACTTTCAACAATGCTCAGCCAAAGCATCCAGATGCTGAGAGCCCCCAAGCTCCACTGCCAAGTGATGCTCAAGGTGACCAGGAAGTGCCCAGGGCTCTAGCCATAAGACTTGTGATAACACATATAGGTCATGCACTCTCGCCTTCTGACCTAACTCCCAGCCCCTAGATCAAGTGTCCTGATGTCAAATCAAATACTTTTGTTCGTGTATGTGTAGGACATTTAAATTGTATATTTGAAACTTATGAACACACAATAGATACCGCTAGACTTTAAGAAAAGATGAAATCTTGTAACTTGCCAGCAAGTATCCTATTGAGTGAAGTTAGCCAATGGAAGTGGGACAGACACAGAACAGCCCCTCCAACATGGAACATAAGATGCATAGTAGATGGGGGTGGGTCTCACCCCTGCCCCTCCAAGGGGTATGCTCCACCCTCTAGCAGTGCTCAGGGAACCGTATGCTGTGCTGAGATTTGAACCTGGGTCAGCTGCAAGCAAGGCAGGTCCCTTAACCCCTGTACTATTGCCCCTTCCCACTTTTAATTTGATGAAACAGCCCTCGGGGGCTCGTGGCTACCTTATTGCACAAAGCAAATCTTTTATAAACTACCCTCTAGGTGAAAAGAAGAGCCTGGTTATATAACCCAGATTTCCCCTCCCCCCCCTTTTGAGAAAACAGCTTGTCATTTAAAGTTTTAAACATTTGCAAAAATATGTTTCACAAGCAAATGTTTTACGTTGTGTGTGTGTGTGTGTGTGTGTGTGTGTGTGTGTACACATACTTGCAGATCTATTTATGAAGGGAGCACCTCTCCTTCACACTGATTAACAGAAGCAGAGCCTGTTCTGTGGACTGGTCTCTAGGCCGAGGTGGGGTGTGAGCAGGCTGAGTCCCTATGCCTCACTCACACCCGACTTCCTCTAGCTTATATAATGCCTATCTCCATGCCTTATCCCGAGGAGATGCCAGGTGCTGAGTCACCCCAGCTCCACAGCTCCTAATCTCACAGTCCTGATGGCCCCAGTCAAAATACGGCAGATTAGAGGGAAGGTTGCGTAGAAGCCGGCTTAACCCTCGAGTGAGGCAGTAGTGAAGGCTTGGCTGGCACCTGACAGCTCAGCATCCTCAGACAGGGACTGTGGTAACCACACTGTGAGACAGATGCTGTGACAATCAATAGAGAGTTAACTATTTGGTGCCTGCTAAGGGGGCAGGCTTGGGAGTGGGGGTGCGGGAAAACTGGGGACATCAGTGGAGGGAAGGTCACGCTGGTGGAATTGAACCCCTGAAACAACTGTATTATGAACAGCTTTGTAAATCACAGTATTTAAAGGTTCAGGCATTAAAAGAAGCTGAGCAGGCAGAGAGCCAAAGACCAGCTGTGGCTCAGGGGATGGGAGGGTGCCAGAGGGGCGGTTCCCTGAGACAAGGGGGAGCGAAGTGGACACTCAAGAGAGTGTGGGGGCTTGGAATAATGTTGGCCTGAAACCCTGCCATTAATAGTATTGTAAATAATGATGACTAAATTACAGAGAATTTTAGTAAGTAAGTAAGTAAGGTAAAGGCCCTCCCATTGATCGTCGATTTGCTCGAGCGGGCCCAGTAACGTCTCCATTGGAGACTTTGCTGTTACTGTGTCTGGCATATCGAATACTCTCGGTAGCTTGCCGGGCTCTCTGAGAGGGGCGGAGGAATCGAACTCGGGTCGGCCATGTTGGCTGCGTGCAAGGCAGACGCCCTACCCGCTGTGCTATTGCTCCAGAGAATTTTAATAAATTATAAATGTGCTTTATATATTTTAATATTTAATGAATCTATTTTATTAATAAAATATAAAGTACATAATTACATGTAAGTATACTTAACTTATACTTACATGTAGTATAAATTATATACATATAATTATGTAGACATAATTTATACATATACATAATTTGTACTTAAATATTCCATGGGACATCAAAAGATCACATGGCCGCCCACCTATGAGATGGTCAGACTTCTTCATCAAGACCCTAAATGATCGGTTTGAGGCTCTTCATGTTCCTAGAACGACCAGATGCCATTGGGCTACGCTAGCACGCAGCAGCGATGAATGGAGACGTTACTGGCACCCGCTCAAGCAAATCGATGAGTAACGGGATATCAAGTGATCAAGTGATACTTAAATGTAGGGCTGGAACAATAGCAGAGCAGGTAGGGTGTTTGTCCTACATGCAGCTGATCCATGTTCAATTCTTCTGCCCCTCTCGGAGAGCCTGGCAAGCTATCGAGAGTGTCCCACCCCCACATTAGAGCCTGGCAAGCTCCCCATGACATATTCGATATGCCAAACACAGTAACAACAAGTCTCACAATGGAGATGTTACTGGTGTCCACTCAAGCAAATTGATGAAAAATGGGAGTACAGTGCTGCTTACATGTAATTTAAAATTTCAGGTTTATGGACACTGTGATTTGCAAAGTTCAGAATAAATTGGCTTCAGGCATTCACTGTTCCAACACTTACCCACCACCAGTGTGACCATCCTTCCGTCAGTGTCTCCAGGTTCCCTCCCACCCCTCAGCCCGCACCCTGGCAGGCACTTAACACGTTCATTGTATGTTGCTTGCTCCGGCAGAACTTAAAAGGAATGGCAGATGGAATTATCTGACAATAAATCAGTAAGTCAGTTTGTGATGATTGCTGCATGATCGTTTCATTAAACGCATACCTGTGTGTGTGTATTTAAGGATCATTCCATCATTAAGCACGTTGATTCATATGACTTGAAATATAAAACGAAAGAGAATTTGGAGCTTCCGTTTTCCCCTTCAGGTATGCGAGGAAGCCAGTGGCCTCAGGAAGGGCAGAATGTTCCTCTCAGTGTGTGCTGCGCGGCCATCGCTCCTCTCGTCACCCAGTGACCATCCCCTCTCTGTCTTTTAGGCTATTTCGCTCGAGTCCAGGGTGTCAGTCAGCTCTTAAAGGCATTTCTACGGAAGACGGAATGTAACTGTCAAATTATCAACCTGGGGGCTGGGATGGATACCACGTTCTGGAGATTAAAGGTGAATGATAAATTTCCTCTCCACTTTTCTCAGTTGTTTTCATTGTTCTAATATTCGCAAAACTTTTTCAAGTGTCTCACCTGTCTTCAAAATATTCCAGGGATGTTCTGTTTTGTTTTTGGCTTTTTTGGGGTCACATCTGCCGATGCTCAGGGGTTTCTCCTCGCTCTGTGCTCTGGAATTACTCATGGCAGTGCTTGGGGGACCAAATGGGATGCCGCGGATTGAACCTGGGTCGGCCGCATGCAAGGCAAATGCCCTGTCTGCTGTGCTATCACTCCGGCTCCATATCCCAGGGATATGGTCCCTGTATGTTGCACAGCTCCCCCTGCTCCCACTGTCCCCGGGGCCTAGGTGGATTGTTTCTCATTTTATGCTATTGCAAAACTAAGTAAGAAAGTCCTTGTGAATATTTCTCACTGAACATGTGGACATCTGCCAGGAGAGAACTATTGGACCAGTGGAGTAGCTGGGGTAAAGAACACATGTGTAGGCTGGAGCGATCGTACAGCAGGTAGGGCGTTTGCCTTGCATGCGGCCAACCTGGGTTCAATCCCTGGCATCCCATATGGTCCCCAAGCACTGCCAGGAGTAATTCCTGAGTGCAGAGCCAGGAGTAACCCCTGAGCATCGCTGGGTGTGACCCCAAAAGCAAAAAAAAAAAAAGAGAGCATGTGTTTACAGTTTTGATGATAAACAAAAACACTGTCCTCCCGCTGTTCATCGATTTGCTCGAGCAGGCCCAGTAACGTCTCCATTATGAGACTTCTTGTTACTGTGTTTGGCATATTGAATATTCTCGGTAGCTTGCCAGGCTGTCCGAGAGGGGCGGAGGAATCGAACCTGGCTCAGCCGGGCTGGCTGCGCGCAAGGCAAACACCCTACCACTGTGCTATCACTCCAGCCCTCAGTTTTGATGATAAGCAATTTTTAATTTGTTGGCATAAACTTTTAGCACCTTAGGTCAGTTTTTATTTATTATTTGTTGTTATTATTATTATTATTGACTACGTGCTGGAGCGATAGCACAGCGGGTAGGGCATTTGTCTTGCACGCAGCCGGCCCAGCTGAGCCGGGTTCGATTCCTCCGCCCCTCTCAGAGAGCCCGGCAAGCTACCAAGAGTATCTCGCCCACACAGCAGAGCCTGGCAAGCTCCCTGTGGCATATTCGATATGCCAAAACAGTAACAACAAGTCTCACAATGGAGACGTTACTTGGGCCCGCTCGAGAAAATCGATGAACAACAGGAGTACAGTGACAGTGATTATTGACTACACCCAGCAGTGCTCAGGGTTTACTCCTGGCTCAGCTCTCCCGGTTCACTCTTTCTTGGACTTGGAGGACTGTGTGTAGCTTTGGGGCTCTAATGCCGGTCAGCCATGCGCAAGGCCAGTGCCTTACCTACTCCCTCTCCAGCCCCAAGGGTCTTAGGTCACATTTTCGAGGTCGCTGCTCTGGGTGATATATATAATATGAGGCACAGCCGTTCAGCTGCTGTTCTTTGATTTCCTCCCTGAGCAGTCTTTTGGGGCCTAAGAGCAGGTATAATTGCACTCATTGGTTCATAATTGCTGGTCTCCCTTAATGGGTAACAAGGCAGCCCATTCCTTACTAGTCAGCGACAGTATTCAGTGACCATGGGAACTTGGGTCTTGCAAGACCAGCCATCTTCTGCACCAGCCCTCGAACCCTTAGGAGCTTAGAGATGCTCTCAGCAGGCTTTTCTCATGCAGACTGTGTTGGTGATCATGACAGCACGCTTGATTTCAGAAATATGCCCCTGGGAGTGTAGAAAGCAAGTGTTATAACACGTTCTGCAAGGAGTGGGGAGGGGCTGAGAGGGCCATTTGTGGGTCCAGCTGTGGAGTTCCAGCTCACAGGTTAGTGGGGGGGGGGGAGCTTTTTCCGCTGAGTCCCCAGCATTCCCAAGTAACCAGAAAAGAATCCTGGGTCTAGTTACAGTCCCTGCTGGCCTTTGACTCCTGCCTTGGGAATTGACCCCTCAAACCTTCAACCTGCAAAGATGTTGCTGATTGCATTATCTCCCTTCTGGAGGTGGGTACAGATTTTCCTTGGTTCTTCTGTCAGGTTCATCATGTGGCACCACTGGGTTCGTGTATTTGCCCAGATTCCTGGTAGCAGTACACCAAGATAAGTAGGAGCATGTGGGCATAACCTGATCTATGTCAGTTTGCCCCTAATCAGCTCACCTGATAAGATGTTCTGGTCACTATGCCTCCCACCCTTTTGCTTTTTCTTCTTTTTTTTTTATATATATCCAAATATTTATTTATTATCAACAAAGTCTGGAAAGCTACACGTGGTGTATTCAATATGCCAAAACCAGTAACAATAATGGGTCTCATTCTCCTGACCCTGAAAGAGCCTCCAATATGGCAGCGTTGGAAAGATAAGTTGGAAGAGGCTGCTAAAATCTCAGGGCTGGGACAAATGGAGATATTACTGGCACCCGCTCTAGTAAATCAATGAACAATTCAATGACAGTGATACAGTGATGTATTATCAAACAATATATTAATAATTTTAAATGACTCATATGCACCAAGACGTGACTGTTTTTGTTGTGTGAATATGGAATGAAAAACCCTTCTATTTCTTTTTTTTTTTTTAATTTTTATTAGTGAAATACCATGAGGTACAGTTTAGACTTACAAATTTTTGTGCTTGGGTTTCAGTTACACAATGATCAAGTACTCATCCCTCCACCAGTGCCCATTCTCCACCACCAATGATCCCAGTATCCCTCCCAGTACTATAGTACTTCCAGTACTATATTGAACATCAGTGGAGAGAGTGGGCATCCTTGTCTTGTCCCTGATCTTAGAGGGAAGGCTCTCAGATGGCTCTTCAGACCACGATGAGAATGATTCCCCATTGAGAATGATGCTTGATGTAGGCTTGTGGTAGATGGCTTTAACTATATTGATGAAAGTCCCTTCTATACCCATTTTGGCAAGGGTTTTCATTATAAATGAGTGCTGGATCTTGTCAGATGCTTTCTCTGCATCTATTGATATGATCATATGGTTTTTATCTTTTCTGTTGTTGATATGATGAGTTATGTTGATTTATTTCCAAATGTTAAACTATCCTTGCATCCCCGGGATGAATCCCACTTGGTCATGGTACATGATCTTTTTGATGAGTTGTTGAATTCTGTTTGCTAGTATTTTGTTGAGAATCTTCACATCCGTGTTCATCAGGGATATTGGCCTGTAGTTTTTTTTTCTTCTTGTGTTTTCTTGGTTTCCTTTTGGTATTAGAGAGATATGGGTTTCATAGAAACTGTTTGGGTGGGAGAGTTTCTGTTTCTTCAGTTTCCTGGGAAAGCTTGAGAAGAACTGACAATAGGTCCTCTTTAAATGTTTGGAAAAATTCACTGGTGAATCCATCTGGACCTGGGCTTTTTTTTGGGCGGGGGGGGGGAGAGACTTTTGATTACAGCTTCAATTTCCTTGATGTTAATAGGACTATTTAGGTATTCTAGATCTTCTTGATTCAGCCTTGGAGATTATAGGAATCCAGGAATTTATCCATTTCTTCTAGGTTGTCTTGTTTTGTGGCATACAGACTTTCAAAGTCGTCTCTGATGATCCTTTGAATTTCTTGGGTTTCTGTTATGATATATCCCTTCTCATTTCAGATTTGGTTTATTAGGATACTCTCTCTTTCTTTGTGAGTCTTGCTAGTGGTTTATCTATCTTGCTTTTTTTTTTTTCAAAGAACCAACTATTGGTTTCATTGATCTTTTCGATTGGTTTTTGGGTTTCCGTGTTTTGTTTTTGCTCTAAGTTTTATTATCTCTTTCCTTCTGCCTGATTTGAGCTCCTTTTGTTGATCCTTTTCTAAGTTCTTGAGCTGTGAAGTCAAGTTATTTATGTGGGCTCTTCTTCCTTCCTGAGAAATGCTTGCAGAGCTATAAATTTTCCCTTTAACACGGCTTTAGCTGCATCCCATAGGTTCTGGTAGCTCGTGTCTTCATTCTCATTTGTTTCCAGGTATCTTTTGATTTCGTCCTTGACTTCTTTCCTGACCCACTTGTTGTTCAACATTGAGTTGTTTAATTTCCAGGTGTTTGATTTGGTTCTTCGTGTCTGTGTGTGATTCACTTCTATCTTCAGTGCATCGTGGTCTGAAAAGATTGTTGATACTATTTCTATCTTCCTGATTCTATTGAGGTATGTTTTGTGGCCTAGCACATGCTCTATTTTGGAAAATGTTCCATGTGCACTGGAGAAAAATGTGTATTCTTTCTTTTGGGGGTGTAAAGCCCTGTATAGGTCTATAAGCACTCTCTCTTCTATTTCTTCCTTCAAGGCCAATGTTTCTTGCTGAGTTTTGTTATTGTTGATCTATCCGGAGGTGATAAGGTGATGTTGAAGTCTCTAGCTACTATTGTGTTGCTAGCAATGTCCTCCTGAAAATCTGTTAGCAGTTGTTTTAAATATTTAGCTCTTCCCTCATTAGGTGCATATACATTTAAGAGTGTGATTTCTTCCTGTTGTACATATCCCTTGATAAATAGAAAATGGCCTTCGCTGTCCCTTCTAATCTTTTTCAGCCTGAAATTTATGTTGTCGGATACTAGTATGACCACCTCAACTTTTTTGAGGGAGCTGTTTTCTTGAAGGATTGTTTTCTATCCTTTAACTTTTAATCTGTGTTTTCTCTGACCGTTCAGATGAGTTTGTTGTAGGCAGCAGAATATTGGGTTCTGTCTCTGAATGCATTTTGCCACTCTGTGTCTCTGAATTGGTGAATTTAGGCCATTGACATTGAGAGAGATTGTTATGGGGTTTTGTGTCATCTTTCTGTAAGGGTTTGTTGTGCTTGTAGGGTTTGTCTTATAATAGCCTCTTTAGCCCTTCTTTTAGGTTTGGTTTTGAGTCTATGAAGTTCCTGAGCTGCTGTTTATCCACATAATAAAAAGTAATGAAGATGTTCAATGAACTCAATGAAACAGAGAGACAGATATCCAGTAAATTGAAGGAGGACATGAAAGAAACAATGGATCGGACAATCGAGAAAATCCAGGAAGAAATGAGAGCAGAAATTGGAAAGCTATGCACAGAAATGCGTAGCTTCGAGTTTGAGTGACAGTTTAGCTGGATAGATTATTCTTGGTGAAGCGTTCATTTCAGTGAATTTTTTCACTATATCCCACCATTGCTTTTGGGCTTGGAAGGTTTTCCTCCGATAGGTCTGCTGTGAATCTAAAGGGTGCTCCTTTGTATGTGATTTCCTTCTTTGATCTTGCTGCTTGCAGTATTTTGTCTCTATTCTCGGCAACCGTCATTCTAACTATGATATGTGTTGGAGTGTTTTTGTTAGGATTTCTTTTAGCTGGCACCCTTCGGGCTCCTGAATCTGAATGGCTGCATTGTCCAGATATGGGAACTTTTCAGCAGTGATTTGTTTAACCATGGCTTTTTCATTGGGATTGTTTCCCTGACCTTCTGGTGCTCCAATGATTCTAATGTTGTTCTTCTTAGAATCATCTCCTAGGACTCTGATTTGCTCTAGAGCTATTTTGAGGTCTCTTGCCATTGTTTGTTGTTGCCTGTAGGCTTCATGCAGCTGATCTTCCAGCTCACTGATTCTGTCTTCAGTTGTGGCCATTCTGCTGTTGAGGGCACAGGTTGAGTTTTTTATTTCATCTACCGAATCTTTTATTCATGACATTTCTGTGCGTAGCTTTCCAATTTCTGCTCTCATTTCTTCCTGGATTTTCTCAATTGTCTGATCCATTGTTTCTTTCATGTCCTCCTTCAATTTACTGGATATCTGTCTTTCTGTTTCATTGAGTTCATTGAACATCTTCATTACTTCATATCTGAATTCTATCTCAGAGGTCCCTTAGGTGAGTAGCACCTACTGAGGCTTCTAGACTCTTTTCATCGTGCTCCCCTCATGGTGGGGATTTGCCTTGTTTGTTCATGATGGTGTGGAGGTATGGAGACTGAGATGTTACACAAGATTGCTGGGTATGAGTAAACTACCTGCAGCCAGGTTCGAATGACTGACCTGGGGGAGGAAGAAGACCAGGCACAGCATTGGGGACGAACAGGAAGAGGCTCAGGGATGGTGAGCGTCCCAGGGTCCTAGAGGACGCCTGGGGTACAGATGCGGGGAAATCCAAGTCCCGGGTTCGAGTTTAGACTGACCTGAAGGATTCAGAAGACCAGGCACAGCGTTGGGAAGGAACAGGAAGAGCTCACTCAGGCAAGAAATGGGGGCCTCACTGTGGTTTGTCTCCTGCCTACACAGGGTACAAGCTTTCATTAACGAAGTGCTTTTACATGGGTGAATTCACGAGCTCTAAGCTGGGGGAGGGGTTCTTGGGTGGGGGTGTTGTTTATCTTGGGGTGCCCTGCCTGGAGGCTCTTCCTGGCTCTGTGCTTAGGTGTGACCCCTGACCGTGCTTGGGGAAGCACATGTGGTATGTGGTGCTTTGAACCCGTGTCCTGGCTGCCACAGCTGCTTCCAGGGCAAGCACCTTATCTCCTGTGCTCATGCTCTGGCCGGCCCTGAGTGGTGGGATGGCCGCGTCCCCCTGTTACACAGTGGCATGGAAACGTGCTCTAGAGGTAGGACGCATATTTGATTCCACAGTTCTGTGGTAATGTGGTAGTTGTGGAGATGACTAAAGGGGATCTTCACTGTGGAGAATTGTCCTCTTTTGACCGTTGTGGAGAGTGGAGCTGTAAGAGAATGCCGGGGAGGAGTCTGTGCTGGGGGCTGCTGGACAGCCCCTGTCGGTCTCACACCCCTTTGACTTGGTCACAAACATTGCTCTTTCTTCCCTCACGTGGGTGGGTCCATGATGGATAAATCGGAGGTGTTTATTGTGAGTGAGGTGCGCACAAAGCAAGAAATTTCTGTGAAGAACTGTCATTTCCTCACCTTCCTCACCGTTGGCATTGCTTTTCTTAGAAGGGGCACATGAGCTGTGGGGTACCTAACTCCGAAATGTTGCCACAGGGGCTAGAGCGATAGCACAGCGGGTAGGGTGGTTCCCTTGTATGCAGCCGGCCCGTGTTCAATTCCCAGCATCCCATATGGTCCCCTGAGCACTGCAGGAGTAATTCCTGGTGCATGAGCCAGGGGTAACCCCTGTGCATTGCCGGGTGTTACCCAAAAACCAAAAAAAAAAAAAAAGAAAAAGAAAAAGAAGAAATGTTGCCACAGGCCGCATGAGGTGTGTCACCTAAAAAACTAGAGGGGCTTGTGGCTGTAATATGCAGGGTTTTTCCAGGCATCTGAGAGTGCTCAGCATAGCCACAGTATTGAATAGACTCTGGGGGAATATGGGCATCAGTTAAATTTGAAAGGCAGATGGGGAAGCAAGGTGAGGAGAGAGAAAGAAGTGAGAGAATGACAGAGAGAGAGAGAGAGAGAGAGAGAGAGAGAGAGAGTGTGTGTGTGTGTGTGAGATGTTTTTGTGTTCCAGATGAGATCAGTTTCTGTTTTACTTCCTTCTTAACCAAAGTACCTGGAGGGGCAGTTTGTGAATCCAGTGCCAGCGGTCAGGACAGTGTCTTGCCGCCGTCATGTCACCGGGCAATCAGACTCAGGAGTATTTCAGTGAAGAGGAGCTCGAACCTCAGAATGGAGAGACAAAGCCCCAGACACGGGGATATCGCATGTGGAGAATGGCATCCATTCTCCTTAGAGGGGGCCTGACGTGTGTCCCAAAGACGCACTCCAGGGTGGCCTTGGCTGGCAGTGACAGTGTCCCAGGCCTCATAGACCACTGAGGGCAGATGTGGGAGGGGTGGCCACCCTGTGTCTTTAAGGACAGCCAGATGGCATCAGGGTGTCACCTATGGCATCAGGGTGTCACAGTCCCATAAAGTTACCAGTGTCTCTTCATTACCTGTGAGGAAATTGGCATTTGATGAATTTCCAAAGCCGCCCGCAGGCTGATAACAGGTTAGATCCTGTCACACGGTGGGCTGCAGAGTGCCTGTTCTTTGCCATTCCACGGGAGAAAAATAAAATAATGATGTGACCAAATAATACCTGCCCTCACCGCACATATTGTTTTCTAATGCTTGCTGTCGCTTTATTTTCGGCAAAGCTATGAGTAGTCAGAATCCTGCGTGCTGATCTCCTGCATGATGGGTCTCAGGTTGCTTGTTGGAAAGCTCTTGTTATCTTCTCTTTCCAGAAAAACTCTGAACTCCTTGCATCCTAGTAGCCAGATTGCAATTCAGTCTTTTTGTTCGTTCTTACCTTGATGATTAGTTATTTAAGTTTACTTCTTCATCCACTCTCCGGGCAAAGACATAGTAATTTGGGAAATACATTTCTGACCACATCATCACTCTGACTGCGAATTCTGAAGAACCCTATTGTTCTCCAGGGCCCACAACCTGGACAATGAAAGTGATCTGGAAATTTGAGTAAATTAAGAAAGGACTGGAGAGAGAGTCCAGTGAGTGGGATACTTGCCCTTCACATGCCTGACCCAGGTTCAATGCCTGGCACAGCATATTAGTCCCTCAGGCACCGCCAGGAGTGGCCCCTGAGCACCAAGCTCTGAAAGCACCTGAAGGCCCAGTCCTCCCTCGCCACCCAAATAAAAAAAGAAGCAAAAAAGTTATCTAAAGATCATTGTCTTAGGGAGGGAGCAATAGTACAGTGGGGAGGGTGTTTGCCTTGCACGTGGCCCACCCGGGTTCGATCCCCAGCATCCCATAGGGTTCCCCGAGCACCACCAGGACTAATTCAGAGCCTGGAGTAAGCCCTGAGCATCACCGGGTGTGATCCAAAAAGCCAACAATAAACAAACCAGTAACCCCTTTAACAATAATAATGATAATGAAACAAAAGAAAGAACATTGTCTTTTTTTCCTCAGGATGAAGATCTTCTTCCAAAAAAATATTTTGAAGTTGACTTTCCAATGATAGTCACGAGAAAGCTGCACAACATAAGGTACGCTTTAACCCAAAGAAAAAAAACAGTGAAATTAGAACTTTCTCTTGGCGAGTGGCCGGTGGAATGGCGCAGACCTCACCAGAGGGCTTTCCTTTGACTTCATCCCATTTCCTTGCCCAGAGTCCTCAGAAATTGTTCCTTCCCTGCTATTAATGCATTCCCTGCTATTAATGCAATTTCTATCCAAAGAGATAGCTCAGTGGCTTAGGGGCACATGTTTTTGTTTTGTTTCATTTGGGAACCACTCCCGGCTGAACCTAGGGCTCACTCCTGGCTCTGCGCCCGGGGATCACTGCTGGTAGTGCTTGGGGGACAGTATCGGGTGTTGGGGGATCAAACCCAGGTAGCCTCCTGCAAAGTGAGTGCCGTCTCAGCTGCCCTTGGTGTACTATCAGTCCGGCCCCTTGAGTGCATGCTTTGTACACAGGAGGCCCGAGTTTGGTTGTTTGAAATTGCACATAAGGTTTGACATAATAATTTAAAAATGCGGGATTTTTTTTTATAGGTTTTTGTTTGTTTGTTTGTTTTTATGATGGTTTGGGGACTTCCCCAGCTCAGGGGTCCATAGGACCCCTCCTGGTGATTTTTCTCCAACTGAGCCAATAGTTCAATTCTGCGGCCAAAGGATGTGTTACTGATTGGATCTTGTAATCCCAGAGGGATACCTGGGCTACTCCAGTGGTGGTTGGGGTTCTCCAGGGTTATTTCTGGCAATGCTCAGAAACTGTGCTATGCCAGGGGTTGGATTGGATCATTTAGTCCCAAACAGAATCATGAATCTGGGGCTATTATTAACCATTTTCCAGATGAGTAAACCTTGAGGGGCAAAGAAGTTTAGTTAATTTCCCAAAAGCTGCCAGAATAGGAAGACGGGAGCTAAGATTTAAATCCTCACTTCAGGTCCAAGGTCAAGGTTTCTTTGTAGTTTTAAACCACACGCTCTGCTTTTTTTTTTTTCTTCAATTTGTCATTTAAATAAAATCCTAACTCTTGGCTCTTTCATAAAATATAATAAAGTTACAACTTTCCATATAGAAATTTCCTAATCTGTACAAGCTAGGATTTTTTTTTTCCAAATTTTACTCTACTTTATCCTTTGGAGAGAAATTTCTTACCCTTACCAAGCATAAAATGGTATTAAAGGTGTTTTTTAGAAGATGGGTGATCACTCTGAGACTCTGGAGGCTACAAGTGACCACCAGGCTTTGTAGAACGCCTAGTGAAATAAGTGTAAATGGGCTCCCTATTAAATGCACACCTGGCCTCCTGGGCTGGGGGACACGTTGTGTCATGGATGGTTACAGGGACTCGGGATCCTGCTCTGGTTTCTAACTGCATGTCCTGTACTGGGGGAGTTACACAGAAATGCTGCTGAACTGTTGGCCTGAGTTAGAGATTGTATGTTTACCTATGAGAAATTATAAATGTGATTTTTGACATTTTGTTTGAGACAAGAAACTAGAGATAAGCTAGTAAACGCTCAGCGTTCTAGCCAGTTGAACTTGCCTTGAACTTTCTTCCTCGCCTGTCTTTTCCCATTTCTCAGTCTAAATAATTCACTGTTAGTTTGTGATTTTATGTCGGATTCTGAGTGTAACCTAACCCGAGTGAGACCTGGCCCCATGGAATTTCCACTCTGTTCACCCTAAGATTGAATAATGAAGCAGAAGGCCTCCTTGGAGTATTTTTTAAATGAGACCAGTACATATTAGCCATTTCTGACGTGATGTTGGAGTGTGGGATTCCTGCAGCAGGGGAGCTCCCTGACTCACCTCTCTCCTTTTCCCCTTCGTCCCATAGGTACAAACCTCTCCTGTCAAAACCCATTATAGAGTTGCATTCGGAGGACTCGCTTCAAATGGGCAAGTATCCTTCTTTGAAGTAATCCACTGTGGACTATGTGACTTGCGTCTCTTTCTTCCTTTTTTTTCTTTTTTTTTTTAATAAAAATTGAATCACCATGAGATACAGTTACAAAGCTTTCGTGTTTGAGTTTCAGTCATACTGATCGAACATCCATCCCACTGCGCACTGGTGGAGGGATGGGTATTTCACCACCAATGTCCCCAGTAAACCACGCCCCCCCCCCTTTCTATCCCTCCCCTTGCCTCCATGGCAATTTCCCCCATACTCTCTACTTTGGGGCATTATGGTTCACAATACCGATTCTGAGAGGTTCTCACATTTGGTCCTTTATCTACTTTCAGCACACATCTCCCATCCCAAAGGATCCCTCCAACCATCATTAACTTAGTGATCCCTTCTCTATTCCAGCACCTTCTCCCCCAGCTCGTGAGGCAGACTACCAACTATGGTCCACCTTTTCAAGGTGGTCCGTGTATGTGTTCACATCTGCACATGCCCTCCCACCCTACCTCGATGTCACACTGTGTACAGGCATCAGGGCACTGATTTTGGTCCCCAGCACTTTATTCCTGGCCCTCAGCCCCGCAGCACCTCTTGAGGTGGCCCTGATAGACCCTGGCAACACTGGGTGTGAGCACGACCTCATCAGACCTGCACCACCACACCACGCCAAGTAATGCTGAGAGTGACCCTGGACCCTGCTGGGAGGCCCCTTTCCCGAACCACAAGAATAGAATGGCTAAGAATAAAGAAAGTGTGAACGAGAAAAGAGAGGGGGTAATAAAATAATTTCATTGATCCTTTGAAACTCCTAAACATTTTTGGTTTGTTTCCTCCCCCCCTTTTTTTTGCCGGGGGGGGGCGCTTATTTTTATATATTTGACCTCAGGTAAGGTTGATCATCGTGTTTCAGTCATGTTTTCACTTGTCTTCAGAAGCAGGCTGTTGCACCATCCAGGTGCCCATCTTGCTCTGCCTCAGTCCGTTGGACCCTCCTGTCCTTTGATCTTGTTGCTCCTGTTACCTTAGCCCCCTCTGGCAGCCTTGCTTATGTGGTCCAGAGCCAAGGGTTGGCTTTGTCTTCTCTGTTGTCTTGCTTTTTATTGGTATCCCACGTACGAGTGAGGTCATCCTGTGTTTGTGGTTTTGTCTGACTTAAAAAGAAATGTCTCATGTTGTAAGGGTGTGTACGAGTGAGGTCATCCTATGTTTGTGGTTTTGTCTGACTTTAAAAAAAAAGAAGTATCTCATGTTGTAAGGGTGTAATAATTATAAGGTGACAATTGTAAGAATTGCCACAATTTTCAGTTAAAAAAATAAACTAATATGACAGATAAAACTGGTTCCTCATTGATTATTGAGTACTTCCTTATTTTGAAGAAAAATGTCATCTTTGAATGGGTGATGGGGTCTCACCGGGGAGAACCCGAGGACTGCCCCTGACTCTGCTCAGTGTCGCTTATGGCAGTGCTCTGGGCCCCGTGCAGGCAGGCAAGCTCCTTAGCCCTTAACCCTTCTATCACTCTGGCCCCTTATGGGTGATACTTTTCAGGGAGGAATACTCACAGGGTCAAAATTTGCAGCGTATGAATACAGGGCTGGAGCAATAGCACAGCGGTGGGGTGTTTGACTTGGGCGCAGCCGGCCCAGCCGAGCCGGGTTCGATTCCTCTACCCCTCTCAGATAGCCCGGCAAGCTATGGAAGGTATCTCATCTGCACAGCAAAGCCTGGCAAGCTACCCATGACGTATTCAATATGCCAAACACAGTAACAACAAGTCTCACAATGGAGACATTACTGGGCCCACTTGAGCAAAATTGATGAACAACGGGAGGACAGTGACTGTGACAGAATACAGGCAGACTATAAAAATCAAGTCAGAAAGGTCAGAATAATATCTTTAAAAGTAAATCAGGGACTGAAGAGATAGGACAGGGTACAGGTGGCCAACACATGTGATCCTCAGCACCCCTAGAACTTTCCAGGATGGCAGGAGTCATACCTGAGCAGCACCAGATGTGGCCCAACCCTGTCCCCTCTCCCCCAAAATTGTGAATCAGGAGCCTTAGCGATAGTAAAGTGGTCTCCTTGCATATGGGATACCCCAGTTTGATCCCTGGCACTCCATATGGTCCCATGAGTATCCGGGAATAACGACTGAGCATCTCCAGGTGAGGCCCAACCCCCCCCCCCCCAAGGGTAAATTGGGTCAAGGAGCGAGATGGCTCAAAGCCCCCAAGCTTGAGTCCCTACTTCCAGCTTGAGTTCCTTCCCTCCCTCCCCCCAGGGCTCATGCCACCCAGTGTAGCTGGACGCTGGCCTTGAACTGTCTGGCGTGGTTAGCCACATCGCCAGGTGTGGCCCCCAAGCTTCCTTGGGGAAAAAAAAACAAAAATGTAAATCAGGTTCATTTACTTCCCTGCTAACTCCCCCATGGGTGGGTGGGACCCACGGGGCTGGCAGCCTGGGGAATTAATTTCCATCCGCACTGTGCTGTTCCCATGCTTGCCTCTGAGTGTACCAAGTTTAATGTCACCCTGAAACCTTTTCCCTTTTCCTTGGCCCAGAACTCCCCTTGTCCTGTTGCATATGGACTCCTCACCACTGTCCACTCAGCCAGCACCTCTGCAAAGAGCCCTACCTGGCCACCAGCCTAAAGACTGGTCCCTTTTCCTCTAGCATTGTACCACCCTCCCCATTTTTTTGTCCCTTTTCCGTGACACTTCAGATTATGATCTTATTTTGAGTCTCTATTTCTTTAATGATTCATTGTGGCCCTCCCTCCTCTGGTATCATGAAAGCTCCTAAAGAAGGACCTGGCTGGCAGACAGACGTGGTCAACTGAGGGAGCACATGCACTTCAAACTCTTGAATGACTCTGTAACTTATCCCCGGTGAGGAATTACAGGAGTGTGAAGGCTTTCAGAGAGATATTAGGCATTTCAGCAGAGCCCTAAGGAGTAGCTGAGGGGCACTAGGAGGCAGAGGGAGGGTAAGGAGGGTCTTAGGGTTGAAAAGCAGTATATGTGTGTGGCCGGGGGGTGGGGCAGAGGGGGAAATCCTGCTGGCAGGGTGGGGAGGGTCTTAGATGAAAAGCATGGAGAGGTGGGGGGGGGGGGGGGGTTCCCGCAGGCTGTTGTGACTGGAAGTGCATGGTCAAGACGTTCAGTCTTTTTAGCTTTCGCCTTACTTGTCCTTGTCCCCTCGCTTGTCTCCCCTGCTCCATGTAATCTCTGAGGATAGGGACTGTGTGTTCTCTTGGTATCGGTGTACTCCCAGAACCTGACTGTACGCAGAAAAAAAAATAGAACAAACATAATGTTCAGTATAGTCCAAAGATCCTCCTTTTCACAATTTTCAGTTTTCGTGTGTGTGTGGGGGGGGGGTGGATGGAGGGGTCATGACATACAGATATTTAACTGAAGTGTTCTAGGAAGATCTATAGTCTAAAACAAGAGTTTGGAGTCATTTGTAAGTCTCCCATTGAAGACATAAATTCGTGGAATTTGCTTTAGTTCAACTCTCTAGTTCAATACCCACCCTCCCTCTCTCTCTCTCTCTCTCTGTGTGTGTGTGTGTGTGTGTGTGTGTGTGTGTTCTCTGTCTCTCTCTTTCTCTCAAAATGCTTGCCTAGAGGTTATGTTACTTGTGTGCATAGTAGGTTTGGTATATTTATTGTATTAGACTGGGTAACACTTAGGCTAGGCATGAGTTTGATGAGGCAGATAATTAAATCTTTACTCGAGCCTTTACTCTGTACCAAACCACTGCAAAGCAAAACAAAGCAAGTGTGTTTAAAACAACCACAGTGTTTTTTAGCTCACAATTCTACAGCATGGTAGTTTGGGCTGGTATCATCTGGGTGGAACTTCTTAGCTTGGCTCATTGGATTTAATCATTGTGGTCTTGTCTTCACAGAAAACCTTCACTTGTACCAGGCAAGCTAGGCCAAGGAGTCCCAATCTTTCTTGGATCACATTGCTCTAAATGTTTCAGTAATTTTTCACAGTGCTCCAAAAACATATCAGCAGTTCTATTTATTAATGAATTGGGCTCAAACATTGTAAGTATTTATGTCTTAACAACTTACTAGTCATTTCTCAAGAAGAAATAATACATATGAATGGAAAGTTACTTTTCTTTTTTCCCTTTTTGGGTCACACCCGGCAATGCTTAGAGGTTACTCCTGGCAGTGCTTAGGGAACTATATGGGATGCTGGGAATCAAAGATCCCAGGTCAGTCGTGTGCAAGGCAAACGCCCTCCCCGCTCTACTATCGCTCCAGCCCCTAACCAGTTACTTCTAATTGTATATACAGCCTCTTACTGAACATCTCGTGACTTCCCCCTGGAGTCAGATTAAATAGCCCTCAGCTTTTCCTCACCACCCAGTCTCCAGAAAGCGGTTTTACAGAGCAGTCAACGTCAGGAGGTGAACAGAGAAGTCTACTGTTGAGACTCTGGTCTGTTGGAGCAAGCAGTTGCTTATTTCTCGTCCATGTCGAGTGTCTGCTTCCTCTCTGGTAACTGCAGTGTCTTCCTCTGCCCTTTCGTGGGTTTGCTCTGCCACCCTGATTTCCACCTTGCGTGCCACAGAACTCGGCACTTTGTCTTTAGTCCTTTCCATAATTTAGAGTCAACATTGCCCACATTACATGCATCAGAAAAGTGACCTTGAGGGCCCAGAGCTACAGAGTAGGACTTCAGTGTTAGAACTGAGACTGGAGCCCACTGTTGGTGCTCCCCTGGGGGTTCACCCTCAGAACCGGTTCTGGGACGGAAAACTCAGCACATCTGTTTTCCCAAGGAGATAGCAATTAGACTATTAAAGGCTTAAACGTTTTTAATATTGAGTGATGATTCTAAGTGACTTTCTTAGGCTCCGCCATTGACATTTGGGAAGGAATCATTTCCTCCTGGGAGGGACTGGCCTGTGTCCTGGATGTTGAGTCGCTGCAGACCTGGCCTTTCCCCACTAGATGCCAGTAGCATCCTC